TTCAAGTATGTTATAACCTAGTAATGGGATGAAAAAACTATGCTATTAACTTCATATAAGTGTCATCAAAGGAGTAAGCCAACACAAAGAATACGAATAAGGAAACGTTTATCTCTAGCCTGGAAAGGGAAGAAAGAATTTAAATCAACAGACCTTACAGGGTCTTGCTATGTTGTGACCCTCTTGCCTCAGCTTCCTGAGCAGCTAGGACTATAAGTGCATACCAATGAGCCTGGTTTTAGGGTAGGTGGGAGACAAACCTGGTCTCCCTTGTGGACTCAGCCTGTGAAGTGGCAGTGTTAAATAGCGTGTGCTACTGTGGGCTGGGCACACACATGGATTTTTTGTACATTACTGAAACCCCATTTTAACGACAGTATAGGGTTTTTAAAAAAAGGTATAAACCCAAGGATTGTGAGATTAAAAAGGAAATGAATCTAAAAATGTTTTAGTTTGGGCTGGCTCCATGGCCGAGTATTTAAGGGAGCCAGATCCTACATGGCCAACTGTGTGGTTGGAGTACCTGCCTTGGCAGCTGGAAAACCATGCCAGACACGTGCGTGTACATGCTCAAAATCCTGACAGGAGAGAGAAATGTGGAGGGGATTGTAGCACAACCTTGTTCCACTAGGGGTGCTTTCTCCTTCTCCATGTCTCTCTGTCTCTCTCTGGCAAGTACACAAGTCCTCTGATAAATTTAAAAAAAAAAAATGTGAGTTAGTTAAAAAGGGGAAGAGATAAGGAATTTAAGACACCATGGAAAATTCTTTTCTAAGCTAGAAATATAGAAAGCTAATTCAAATTTGATGTGTACAAGAGAATCTTCAAAAGGCTCACAATTAATGATACCAGATAAAGGAGAAATGCAAGAAATGACGGAATTTGATTGAACTCAGTTTAAGAAGCAACCAAATCCTTAATACATTTTTCCCACCCCAGCAATAAGACTAAAGATTTATTGTCTGGAGAGGGTTAAACAGGTTTCTAGAGCAGAAGATAGCAGATCTGGTTGAAGAAAAGAGTAATGTATTGAAAAGAAAGGAATAGGCCTCTGCACCCCCTTTTCCTTTTTTTTTTTTAAAGTTTTTGCCATAAAGCAAATACACTTGCTGGTGAGGAAAGAGACAAAGACAATGAGAGGGAAAATGAGTAATCACCTCCCTGCCCCATGACACAATTCCTTCTCCATGTCTCCATCCTGTCAGGACCCTGAGCATGTGTGTGCATGCACAAGGCATGTTTCTCAAGCTGCCAGGGCCTCAATTTGAATTGTGGGATCTGGCTCCCTTAACCACCAGGCCACAGGGCTGACCTAGTTCTTAACTTTACTGAGATGTGTCTTTCAATATTAGATTGCTCTCATCATCAAAGATAATCAGTATTTCTCTGTATTGCCATTAGGATTGTTATTGAAATGATAAGATTACTGATTACTGCATAAACCAAAAAAATTTCTTTTTTTTTTGTTATCTTTCCCCTCAAATATAGAAAAAAGAGAAAATCTGTTTCACAGCCTAACCCAAGGATATTTACCCCATGAACTGCTATTCTGTGCTATCCACAGTATCTCCAGAAAGCTTCGAAAAAGAAGATAAAGAACTGTGAGCATTACTTAAATTTTTACTTACTTTCGACAGAGTTTAATAGTCTTTATTTTATTTTTTTAGTTTGCTATAGGGTACACGTGCTCTCAGGAGAGACACAGAGAGAGGCAAAGTGAGAATGTATGCTCTAAGAGGGATGATCATGCTACAATTTCTTCTCTTCCATTCTCTTCTCAGGATTTTAGGTGCACACACACACACACGCTTCTGGGTCCAGGACTCAAACCATGCTGTTGGCCATGTGGGATCCATCTGCCTTTACCACCACACCACCAGTTGGCACACATTCAATACATTTCTTTTTCTCTTTTGTTTTTTATTTTTTATTTATTTATTTATTTTTATGAAACGCTTCACAAATTTCATGTCATCCTTGCACAGGGGCCATGCTAATCTTCTCTGTATCGTTCTAATTTTAGTATATGTGCTGCCGAAGTGAGCACTTAAATACATTTCTAACTAACATCTAGATATTAAAAAAATGCTAGTTCCGAAACTGTGCTGATGGCCCAGCTCCTGTGACATGTGGTAATACAACATGTTCCCTTGCAGGGCACAGGGAGGAGCCATGTGGCCAGCTGCAGGTTTGGATACTTGGATTGACTTGAAAACATGCTGGTTATATACACAGGTGCCCAGGTTCCTGAAAAACTGGAAGGCTGGGGATGGGAGACTTATGAAATGACCAGACCCTGTTGAGAGTGCTTCTATCCCTTCCTGCCCCTTGCATGGGTATGCACTATCATAAAAAGTAAACAACTATAGCTGATATGAAGAAATTGAGGAAAAAAATTCTACTTTCTAATAAAATGGGGGAGAAAGAAATATGTGGGTGGGATATAATTCAAGTAATTTATTTTTATTAATATTTTACAATATTAAGTTAATTCAATCTGTTTTTTTTTTTTCTTTTTTATTGGAGAGGTTTTCACTATAGGGTACATGTGCTCGTCAGAAAGACAGAGAGATAAAAAGCGAGAAATCACCCCCAGGGGGGATGGCCACACCACAATCTCTTCTTCTCCATTCTCCTCTTGGGATCTTGGACACGCACACACACACGTGCCTGGAGTGAGTTTAAGCTGCCAGGTCCAGGACTTGAACCGCAGTCGACTACATGGGAGTCCAGCGACATAGCCATTCCGCTAACTGCTGGTCTCAATTTGTTTTTTATTTTTTTTAAAGAGATTTTTGCTATAGCGTGCGTGCACTTGCTGGAGAAACAGACAGAGAGATAGAAAGCAAGAAATCACCCCCCCAGGGGGATGGCCACACTACAGTCCCCTCTCCTCCATCCCCTCTTGGGATTCTGGGCATGCACACACGTGTCTGGTGTGTCTTAAGCTATTGGGCCAAGGACTTGAACTGCAGCTCATCACATGGAAGTCTAGCGCCTTAACCTCTATACCACCTGCTGGCCCCAGTTCAGTCTGTTTCTACACAACACCAAGGATAGATAACAAAACAAATGCAGCAGAAATTTGACTAAATTAAGCTATTTAACAGATAACAGAAAATATATTTGAATCAGTACCTTTATTCTGTCAGTGAACTGGTATTTTTTTATGACCATTTCCTGCAACTGGCAAAAGTCTCCATTTAATTTTACTCCATAGAGTTCCTGTGCTGAACTGTAAAGGTAACCCTAAAATAGGAAGATACATTTTAATGCAAATCAAGTAACTTTTAATTGTGGATTTATTTCTATTAGAAATCTAAAAAGTCAAACTTAAAAAAATATAATTCAATAAAGTAAAAATAAAATGAAGGAAAAGTAACATCTTGTAGTCTGTGTCAAACAACATGTGTAACTTAACACCTTTACTGATCAAAGCCTTGATTTTAATTTATTAATTTTTATTTTAAAATTATACATATATTTAAAATAGTTATTTTTATTTATTTATTTACTTATTTATTTATATTTGAGAAAGATTTTTGCTACAGGGTGTGTGTACTCGCCAGAGAGACAGAAAGCGAGAAATCACCCCTGAGGGGGAATGATTATGCTGCAATCCCTATTCCTCCATTCTTCTCGCGGGATTTTGGGCACATACACATGCACATGTGCCCAGTGTAAGTTCAAAGCCGCTAGGTTCAGGACTTAAACCACAATCGACTGCGTGGAAGTCCAGTGACATAACCATTACGCTATCTGTTGGTCCCAAAACTAGTTACATTTCTTTTTCTTTTTTTTTTTTTTTTTTTTTGAGAGAGTTTCACTGTAGGGCGCGTGCGCTCGCCAGACAGACAGAGAGAGACATAGAGACAGAAAGCGAGAAATCACCCCCCAGGGGGGATGGTCACGCCGCAATCCCTTCTCCTCCATTCTCCTCTCGGGATTTTGGGCACGCACGCACACGCGCCCGGCGTGAGTTTTAAGCCACCGGGTCCGGGACACGAACCGCGGTCGACTACGTGGGAGTCCAGCGACATAGCCATTACGCCAACTGCTGGTTCCCAAAACTAGTTACATTTCTTAAGGATTGATTTCTCATTTTTTTTCTGATAAAACTAGGCATTCCACAAAGTTGGAAATCAGAAAAATGATAATACACAGTTTATCTTTTTTTTTTTTTTTTGGAGAGGTTTTTGCTATAGGGCGCGTGCGCTCGCCAGAAAGACAGAGACAGAGAGACAGAAAGCGAGAAATCACACCCTCCCCCACGGGGAGGATGGCCATGTTGCAATCCCTTCTCCATTCTCCTCTCAGGATCTTGGGCATGCATGCATGCACACGTGCCCGGCATGGGTTTAAGCCACCTGGTCCAGGACTCGTACCGCAGTCGACTACATGGGAGTCCAGCGACATAGCCATTATGCTAACTGCTGGTCCCCACAGTTTATCTATATAATATCTCTCTTCTATATTTTCTTGGGAAGTTACAGTGGGGAAAGCAAGAAATAGTTAACCTATGGGGAATATACTAGAAAATTATCCATAAGCTAATATGAGGGGAAAGTGCCTTGAGATGTACACTGTTTGACTTAGGGAAGTAGGCCTGGTTTCTGGCAATCTGCCAAAGATAATCAACCAATCAGTTAATAAGGATAATAAAAAATTGATTATCTATTTTCATATATTTGTTTTGTTGCAATAATAAAAAAATTTAGAAGCTCAAATAATTTTCTAATGATCATTTTATATCAACCTATGTGAAAGCCAAATTTGTATCTATATCTCATTGCATATTTTTAAATCATATCCTACAGTGCATATGTATGCATTTGAACTTTTTTTTAAATTGACTAAATCAGTGACCTAAGACAGAAAAAAATGACAAATGTATTTAAATTTACCAATGCTTATACTACATCTACATATACACAATTATTTCAGCTTTATACTTTTATTTTCTTCTTTTTGGGGTTTTGCCATAGAACACATGTGCTTGCCGGAGACAGAAACAGAGACAGTGAGAAGAAAAGTGAGGAATCACTCCCTAGGGGTGATCTCTTCTTCTCCAGGGATCTTGGGCATACATGCACACGTGCTTGGCATATGTTACAAGCCACCAGGTCCCGGACTTGAACCGCTATCGGCCATGTGGGGTCCAGCGTCTTAACCACCACAAGCTTTATACTTTTATAACAAATCAGTAAATCAACTAGAGTACACAAAAATATAATGAAGAATCATAGTATCTAATGATCTTTAAATAAAAAGGATCTGAAAAACTTATTTTCTATTATGACTATCTTTCCTAATTATAGAATAAAAGTTTCCACATTGCCAAAGCAAAGTAAGCATTAAAGGGTTAACTGTTTCTGTTTGGCACAGACAATGATGCTGGGAACTGCAGTGCCTGTTTCTGGCACAAGCCTCTACTGCTGCTGGCCACATGTTTTAATAAATCTACTAATGACGGCCAGAAACCACAATTCAGTTTTTGATAAAATCATTTAAATATATTAGACGTTCTCATGATTTGAGTTTTAAAACAAAAAGTGCTACAGTGAAGTGATATTTCAGAAATAAACATCTACATTCAAACTTTAGAACACAGAAAATTAGAGTGAGACATATCCTTGAGTATCATTTCATTTACACATGAAAAACTAGAGGCCCAGAAGTGTTAAGTGGCTAGCTTATGGCAATACAGTGATTTCCTAGGTAAAGTAAATTTGTCAGTATTATAAATATCCTTTTCAAGGCTCAGCATACTATTTCAGCAGAGTACAAGGAAAAAGAGATCAGAAGGCAGTAGAGACTGACAAATAGCAAAATGTTATGAGAATCACAAACTTCAATCTTGTCATTATTATATTTGGATTCCAAAGAAAAACTGGTAAAGGAAATTGGAGAGCTGATCTCTTGAAATTCCAAATTCAATTATTACCATCAAATAGAATTTAAATGCTGGCCAATATTATAGTATTTTTTTTTTTAAGTTTTTTTTCCATAGGGCACATGTGCTCACTGGAGAGAGACTGGGACAGTGAGAAGGAAAGTGAGAAATCACCCCCCGGGGGCATGGCCACACCACAATTCCTTCTCTTCCATTCTCCTCTCGAGATTTTGGGCACGCAGGGACATGCGTCCCATGTGATTTTCAAACTGCTGTGTCTGAGACTCAAACTGTGGTCGACCATGTGCAAGTCTAGCACCTCGACCACTACGCCACCTGCTAGCCCCTATATTATAATATTTTAACTTTATTATTCCATTATTCTAATAAATAAAGCCAGGCTGTCACCTTGGATGGTGGCAGGCAAAGCTCTTGCTAGCAGAAAAAAGTATTTTCCAGATGTTGAGCACGTTTCCGCAAACTTGACTTTACCCCAAAAAGGACTATGCCAAGCCTGGAGCCCACGTCAACCAAGACCTTTCCTGACAGATCAGGGAGTACATGATGATAAATGAACTTCAGTTCCATGAGGGAGAAGGAATGGGAAATGAATCCTGGAGAATTAGAACAGAGTGAACATCAAATTTTGGTTATTAACAATCGATTGCATTCTGCACTTTTAATTCTTTTGTCTATATTTGTAAAGTACATTTCATTATTTTTTTCTTAATCAATGAAAAATTAAGAAAAACATGTGATAATTTTGTATGCATCTATTCTGAGCTATATTGGAGAAGAACAAATGTTAAGTCTCTGACATTTAAAAGGCCTCTAGGGAACAGTTACTCTGATGACTGACTTTATCCCTATGCCTTTCTTTTCGTTCTCGCTGCTTAGCGATGTCCTGGGTTTTTTCCTTCCTTTGCTCCCTGTGACCTGTTGCTGGATGGCTTCACTAACTTCTACATTATCCAGCTTTCATCAGCTTACCCTGGAGCCACAGAACCACTATATTGGTGCATAGACTGCAGACTACCAAAATGAATGACCATCTCTGGGGTCATACAATGTGACAACCTTTTCCAGCCTAGAATGTATTCTGGAGTACAAGAGAGGAGTGGTATAAAAGGAGACTAAGGTACCTACTTAACTTCCTCTTAATTTCCCTTGTTTTTTGATTTTTTTTTTTTTTTAGAGGTTTTTGCTATAGGGTGCATGTGCTTGCCAAACAGACAGAGACAGAGAGACAGAAAGCAAGAAATCACCCCCCAGGGGGGATGGCCACGCTGCAATCCCTTCTCCATTCTCCTCTCGGGATCTTGGGCAAGCATGCACACGTGCCCGGCGTGAGTTTTAAGCCACCGGGTCCGGGACACAAACCACGGTCAACTATATGGGAGTCCAGTGACAGCCATTACGCTAACTGCTGGTCCCAGTTTCCCTCGGTTTGATTGCTGCTGCTTCTAGACTCCCAGTCTACCTTCTCACCCAATTTTTATGATGAAATGTCTAGGCAATCTTAGTTTGGCTTTCTTCTGATTTGGAGGTAACCCAAAGGCTTACTATATTATGTTCCATATACACCACATAATAGAGAAGCGACTGTAGCATGACACACCCATTTCTCCATCCTGTTGGGATCTGGGGCACTCATAAGCACACTCCTGGAGTGTTTTTCTAGCCTCTGGGAATTGGATTTGAACTGTGGAGGACTATGCAGGATCTGCCCCCCTTAACCATTAGGCTATGGGGCCTGCCCAGTAATAGTTACTCTTTGAGAATGATATTACCTGATATCAGAGGTCAGCCATACGGGATCCAGCTTCCTTAACCACTAAGCTATAGAGGTGGCCCACTTCTATTTCTTACTGAAAATGAATCAGCATATAGTTTACACATCAATCTCTGTTGAGCATGCAGAGTACGAGTCTGTTCACCTATATTTGGTCACTTCTCATTAATTTCCGGACCTGAAGAGCTACCTGTCCTGGGGGACATTTCAGTTACCTTGCCTCCCCAGATACTATTTCTAGTTAGTCTTTCTAACTGAAATAGCTGGTAATGACCACGCTGTAGGTTGGTCTTTTACTTTATAAAAACAAAACAAAACAAAATTGGTCAAAAATTTGCATACTAACAACATGTAAGACATAGAACACATCAAGTCATCAGATGTGCACACTTGAGTGCCTACCTAAAGGTGCTGTCTGGTGTGAGCCACACACCATACAGTAGTTCCTACTCATTTTTCCTTCTTCACATAATGAATCAATAAAGTCTTCATCATAAAGGAATGCATCCACATGAACTGTGGGTTCTGGCTGCTGCTGTATCTGGTGGAGAGAGAAAAACATCAAAAGAAACAAAGTACAAAGAAGTTTCTTTTTATTGCTAAATAAGGCAAAACATCAGGTTCCTAAGTCAAATTCTATAGAGCAAAAACAAGGCACAAAAGCACATGTTTCATTTATTCAAGTCTGTAACTGTTCTTGTTTCATTTTATTTTTGAGACACAAGCAACTTTTTGTTTGACTTAGAATGATGCAAAACACAGCTGAGAAAGATAAAATTTGAGTTGAAAGAAATTTTGAGATATTCTTCTCCATCCTAAATAGTACATTTTACAGACAAAGAAAATCGATACCTAGAGAGATTTCGCCAAAGAAATTATACTAGTTAGTAAGGGGCAATGGGTTTTTAAACTATTACCAGGTTTTCTGAGTCCTGTATGTCAGTGACTTACCATCAAAATATTTAGCAAGTAATCTTTTCCTAAAAGTTAAAGTTCTCAAAATATAAAACTGTTATGAGGGGCAGATCCATGACTCTGTAGTTAAACCAAATCAAATCTCTCATGGCTGTTTGCAGTTCAAATCCTGGGCTAGTCACTTGAAAAATACCCCGGGTACTTACGTGCCCCAAATCCTAATGGGATGAAGAAAGGAAGGAAAAGGGACTGTGTGTGACCATACCCGATTGGATAGGCATTTTCTCTCTCTTGCACATGTGCCCTCTGGGGGTGGGAGAGAGAAAAGGGGGCCAGCAGGTGGCATAATAGTTAAAGTGCTGGAATCCCACATGGTCAACCATGGTTCAAGTTCCAGACCCAGCAGCCTGAAACTCATGCAGGGCACATCTGTGTGCATGCCCAAAATCCTGAAAGGAGAATTGGAGGAGAAGGGATTGTGGCATGGCAATTGCCGGGGGTTGGGGGGACTTCTCACTTTTTGTCTCTCTGTCTTTCTGGTGAGCACAAGGGCTCTATAGTAAAATTCTCTCTCTCAAAAAAAAAAAAAAAAAGGGAAAAGAAGGTTATTAAAAACCTTAGGCTTTCAAACAGTAGCCCTTTTCTCATACTGGTAGTATACATGATGTAATAGCAAGTGGCTACAAAGAAAAAAATGTCAGATTCCTTCTACCTCAACTAAAGAATCTACCTAGATACCTAAAAATGGTTTCTTTCTCTCTCTCTCTTTCCTTTCTTTCTTCCTTCCCCTTCCTTCCTTTTTTCTCCTTTTCCTTTCTTCCTTCCTTCTAATTGCCAGAGGGCATACATACTTGTTGGAGAGAGAAAGACACAGAGAGAGAGCAGCAAAGTTAGAAAGCACACTCCATGGGGGATGGTCATGCCACAATCCCATCTCCTCCATATCTCTTTTTGGGATTCTGGGCATGTACATAAATGTGTCTGGCGTGTTTTTCAAGTCACTGGTTCCAGGACTCAAACTCAACTATGCACTCAGCTATAAGGGATCTAACTCTTCAACCATTGTGCCATGGGCTGACCAATTATTTCTGCATCTACACACAAAAAAACCCCTCGCATTATATATATATATATAAATCAGATATGTATA